ATCTATCTATCTATCTATCTATCTATCTATCTATCTATCTATCTATCTATCTATCTATCTATCTATCTATCTATCTATCTATCTATCTATGTGTCTGTGTATCTGTCTCAGTGTGTATCTCATTTCAATCTCTCATCGATCTCTCTGTCCGCCTATCTGTCTGTGTCAAGGACCTAGAAGTCAAGGAACTCCTATGGTTTAATATATTATTATGTCGAAAATGGCGAACTACATACTATAGGCACAAGTGTTGAATACAAGTACAAGGCACACCCTGGCCAAGTTTGGGGCAGATTATACTCTGCGCAAAACTGAATTATGGAAGAAGGCCAAAGTCTTTTCAATCGAATACACATTGCAATGGAAAGCTAAAGCCTGCAACATAAAGCAAGGTGACATAAACGCTGCAAAATTGAAAGATTTAAAAAAAACCCTGTGCAACAGATGCTGTTGCATATTTCTACAGAGCCCTGGCAGGGAGTGTAGGCCGTGAAGATGATGAGGTCATTGATGAAGATGTCAACATATGTTGAGTGAATCTGACTCATCTACAAACTAAATGAGAAATTCATAAAAGAATGCAGGAAAGGTTCAAATGCGGAGTTGTTGTCAATCTCCAAATTATGTAACATGTTTTGTTAAAAAGCCATATTGTACTATATTGTTAAGCAATGTTAAAATCCTATTTGTAAGAAAAGAATGTGCTACTGTTGACCTCTTCGGTGCAAAATTAAGAGTTGTTCCATTATAAGTTCATTTTATTTTTTCTCTTGAAAAATAGGCCAACCAAAAAAATCACGCTTAAAAAATAATTCATTTTTCTCGAAATCCTTCCAGTGGCTGTTAGCATTTTCTAATTCTGACCGCTTAAAATGTGCTCATGATATTATAACGAAGACGACGTGATGACTTTAGCTGGATCGAACAATTACTACATTTACCTGAAAGAATCCACAAAATGACGTAAGAACTGAGCTTTCGGTTTAGCCATTAGCACACCCAGGTTGAAAGCCCCGGGAAAGTCACCGTATCGAGGCCAGTCAGTGGATAACACAGCCGGGTAACGTCGAAGAGCTCTTGGAACTGGATTGGTCCAGATCACGTCCCAGTCCTGAAAAGGTGAACGGCTTCTTTAGCTGAAGTGTGATTGTAATTGTAATTATTGTAAATGCGTTACATGGACACAATAATGTTGATTTAGGAGGTGGACTGCTCGACCCTGCCTGTCTCGGCCAACTAGGGAATATAGGGGAAAAAAAGGTCCCAGAAGACTGACAGAGATACTTGATAATTCCCACTACCCCTTTTTCTCCTAATCCACACGTAAATAAGAATAGATGTGCGACGGATAAAAGCCAACAGGTTAATAGAAAAGAAAGTAGGAAACAAAGATATAGATCTGAATCTAGTAATACGGCAAATGTAATGACAAAATCCAAATCCTTTAGAGACAAGTAAGAAGTCGTCATTCCTCGTGAACATAATGTTGTTCTTTTTTCTTAAAGTCCTAGATCTGAAACAGACATCAATGACCATGGTTCATTGGTTATGGATCATGTTTAAGCTCTAAAGTTTAAAAAA